GGCTGGCCGTTTACCTTCTGCCTTCACTTGGCTGGGGTCGTCGATGGCGTGGGAGATGGTTAGATGATTCTAGGGTTGGATTAATGGAAGCCGAAGGGAGATGGGTTTTTGTTGGATAAGGGTTAAAATGGTAATTTACTATTATTCAGAGAACAATTACCAAACAACATTATTTCATTCTCTACTTAATCATTCTGACCCTCTTAACCATTTTGACCTCTTAACTATTCTGCACTAAACCATTCAGCAACTGCCAAACAGCCCCTTAGTCTGCTACACTCTCGCTAGGGTTTCGATTCCTGAATGAATCTCTCCGATAACTCGTCAATGGACCTCGCGAAGAAGCGAAAGCTCGAAGAAAATGGCGTCGTATTTCCACCTGATTCGGCGGCTACCACCACCACCATCACCACACTCTCCCACGACGACCTCCGTAAAGTCATTGAACCTTTCACTCACGAACAACTATCCCAAATCGTTCTAACGGCTTCCCTCCGTCACCCGGACGTCCTTGACGCCGTCCGATCAATCGCCGACCGTGATCCCACCCAACGTAAGCTATTTATACGCGGCCTTGGCTGGGAAACAACCAGCGAAAAACTCCGATCTCTGTTTGCTACTTACGGCGATCTAGAAGAGGCGATTGTGATTCTCGATAAAGTGACGGGAAAGAGTAAGGGTTACGGATTTGTTACGTATAGGCATATAGATGGGGCGTTAATGGCGTTAAAGGAGCCCAGCAAGAAAATTGATGGGAGAATGACTGTTACTCAGCTTGCTTCTGCTGGATTTACCAATGGAGCCAGTGTCACGGCGAATTTGCAAACCCTAGATGTATCATCAAGGAAGATTTATGTTGGAAATGTGCCGTATGATATGCCTGGAGAGAGGTTGCTGGCTCATTTTTCATCGTATGGTGAAATGGAGGAAGGACCATTAGGGTTTGATAAGATTACAGGTAAGTCTAGGGGTTTTGCCCTTTTTATTTATAAGAATGTGGATGGAGCTAGGGCTTCGTTGGTTGATCCAGTCAAGACTATTGATGGGCATCAGTTGAATTGTAAACTTGCTAATGATAACAAGAGAGGGAATTCCGGTGGGATGGCAGCACCACCAGCAGCAGCTGTGGCGTCTGCTCAAGTTCAAGGATCAGGTGATAGGGTTAAGCCAGAAGTAATAAGGGTGAATTTGAACCAGCAAAGTTCAATGCAGGGTTCATATGCATCACAGTTTGGTGGCGGACCTGGCGGCATCTATGGTGGAAATTTGGGTGGATTAGGATTAGCAGGACCTGGTGGTATTTCTGTTTATGGTGGTGGTGGTGGACAAGTTCCACCTTTGAGTCATTCACAGCATCCCCTGAATTCGAATTTGGGTGGTGGAGCAGGGTTGTCTTCATTTGGTAGCAATGGTGGTGGTCCAGGGTTATCAACGAATGGGAGTCAAGCACCGAATTCCTTGGGAGGTGGCAGTGGTGGGTTTAGTTCTGGTTTAGGTGGCGGTGGTGGTGGCGTTGGTGTAAGTTATGGTGGAGGGGCAGGGGTAGGAGGTGGTGGCAGTGGTTTTGGTGGTTCAGGCCAGAGATCCCTTTATGGTTTGCCACCGGGTTCGGTCAGAATGAGTTCTGGAGGTTATCCTGAGAGTGCACATTATAGTTTGTCATCTGGTTCTGCCTACCAAAGCCAACAGCAGTAGAAATCTGGGATGTCATCTATCACCAGGGTTCCAACTGGAGGGTCATATCAGGGGCCTTCTATAAGTTATAATTAAGGTATTTTCTTGCTCTTGCATATTCCAATATAACATGTATATACATTTACATATACGCACACGTGTGTTTATATATATAGGGGCAGGATAAAATGAGAACCATAAATATTTTGAGATCCTGGAAACCAAATATTCATGATGAATCATGCATTATTCATGATAAATGGCATGATAGATATATTGAGATGGAAATTGTTCATAACGTAAATACATGATATTATCGGCGAAAATGCATGATATCCTGAATTATGAAAATGCTTGATATTCATGATTATTCAGGGTTATTCATCAGTTCTTGGTGGTGATTAGTGGCTTTTCTTTTGGTTAGGCTAGTATTATTGGTGTTGGTGAATGATTTACCATGTAGCCCTTTTGAACACAAATATATACCTATGTATTAATACATGCTTTTCTATGGATTCATAGTGGTAATCATCGAGTAGTGGCTTTTTACTATTGATCGTGTGAGAATGAGAGTTAAGGTGAGAAGCGTAAGTAGGGATCCGGACCCTTAATCACCTTTGATCTCAAACCCACCCATGAATTGCGCTTGATATGGAGATTGATCTTGTGCATCTCATCCTAATGTGCATCCAAGGGTGGAGGTCCATTCTTACGCTTCTCACCTTAACTCTCCTTCTCACCGGAACCCAACCCAACCCTATACATATATATATATATATATATATATATATATTTATTTATTTATATGTATATGTATATATGGGCAAATTGCATGAAAAAGTAACGTACTTTAACTTGATTCCTATTTTGGGTAACGTACTTTCAAAACTTCCATTTTGGTACCTAAGATGTAAAGTTTTAAACATTTAAGTACCCGGGTAACTGGTTGAAGTATTTACCGGTTATCATACTGATGTGGTATCCAACTCGGTATTATTTGTTGACCTAGTCAGTGACGTGGATTTTTATTAATCTAAAATTAGTCTTTTTTTTAGTCTAAAAGTAGTATTCACTGGGTTAACCGGGTACTTAAATGTTTAAAACTTTACATCTTAGATACCAAAATGAAAGTTTTGAAAGTACGTTACCCAAAATAGGAATCAAGTTAAAGTACGTTATTTTTTCATGCAATTTACCCTGTATATATATAGGGTCAAGTTCAGGGGAAAACCGCAAAAAAATAAAAAACTAAGGAACACTTTAGTAACCACTCATTTGTACGGTATCCACATGTGCATAATATGTACCCGTGCATAGAAACCAGGAAATATCTTCAATTACTTATATGCACATGTATACCGTACAAATGAACATTTATTAGGGTGTTCCTCAATTTTTCATTGTTTGGGGTTTTTCCCCCGAACCTCCCTCCCTCTCTCTCTCTCTCTCTCTATATATATATCATCTTCTGTTGTTTTGATTTGCTATATAGCTGTGATTTTATCTTTATGGTACTCGATGTGCCATTGGAAATCGTCTCCTCTCATTGTTGTTTCTAATATTTTGTGAATGAGGCTGATGATAGTCTATATATATAAGTTTGCTTTGTGCTTAGGTGATTGAAGTTCTTGGCCATTGGAATGGGTACCAAATCGGCATAATGGTAGCTTGGGTATGGCTTTCTTTCTTTAGTGGCTCTAAATGTGAAGTCTAATTGTATTCATAGTCTAATTATTTTCATTTATACATGTTGACACTCGAGGGTACCAAAAAGGGTTAATTTGGCACTCCGTTTGGACAATGCTACTCATAAATGGACAGAATGGGACATGACAGAATAAAAAAAAAAACTTGTCCCTTGTTTAGCGAGATAGTAGACTATCACAGGATGAGATTGAGTGGGACAAACATGCATTTTTTTGTCCCACCAAAATAGGTGGATCAAAAGTAAGGGAAATGAGAGAAGAATGGTAAATCACTAAACTACCCTTATCGAATTGAAACCCTAAAACCTTCCACAATTCTTTCACCCGCCAATCTAACTCTCGTCTGTCCAGTTCCATCCAATCCTGTACAGTACCGTCTGTGTATCATACACACCCTTAGATATCAAGAGAGACAAGTTTAATGCGTTGAAATTCTGTTTGTAATGCTCTTCCTGCTTTAGTCTTACTGTAAACGACCATATAAACTGATCAAGAGGACGATGTTTAAGTACAATGTTAAGTAGATCTCCATGTAAGAGTATGAAAGTTTGATTATATTGGAACAGGAGATTAACTCACCCACCCATTTCTCTGCAAAGATTTGAACTCACAACCCAAGGGTTGTAAAGCTCGTTCAATACCATTCAGCATAGCCTTCTGCTTGCTTTCTGGCATATTGGTGTTTATTAAAACACTATATTTTCAAGAAATATTTTTTCTGCCTGTTTTACTTGCAATCAGCTGTTATATCGCTTGACGGGTTGTGTTTTTTTGTGCCAAATAATAAACATATAGCCTTTCTTGGAAACCGCCTCTGTGTTTCTTGGGACGGAGGTAAGGTCTAGGCCCTATATCTGCGGGTGGGATATACTGAGTAGAAGAAAGAGGAAAAGGAAAACCGATAACTTCTCTCTAGAGAAAAGACCCCTCATCATTAATGAAAATTGCAGCTTTTAACGCATGCCATGTAAGAACTGAAGTGTTTATAGAGAAGTCCATTTCTGCATTAAGGATCTTTAGTTCATTGGCTTCTCGTACATCCGTGTGGGATATTCTGAGTTCGTTTGTTTTATGACCATCTGTTTGGTTGTTGGTCGGTCTTTTTTGACAATGTCTATTAAGTTAAATGGGAATTAAAACCAATCTTTGAATCAAGTCTTATTGTTTCTGGTTATTTGACTCTCTGGTTTTGTCGTAGTCCCTCATGGTAAGGAGGGATTTCAATTTTTTTGTACTTGTGTGTTCGGTTTTTTTTCTTTTGGATGTCGAACTTTTTCAGATGTACGCCAGTTGCAGACCGTTTGACGTAGTAATTGGAGAAAATCCGACTTCATATTGGTGGCTGCAATTCCTTCCGGTGAGCGTTGTTCTTTTTTTTTGGTAACCATGATGTTTGACCTATGATCAACACGATTCAAGTATTTATTTGTGTATGTCATACCTTTAGGACCTTATTCTCCAGTAAGATATACCGTGTTCGCTTGTTTCGTGTTCACATGACTTCATGTTGTTATCATGTTTCCATATAATGAGCGAGTTTGTTCGCTGATTTAAAGTTAAATCTTGCTTTTGCAACACTGTTTGTGAGAATATGTGGAATCCTATTAATCTTAAAAGGTTTGACAATGGAGGTGTTTCAACATATATATAGAAGAAAGGGTCAAAATATGGCTGATGTGAAACTCTAACAGTATCATTGGTCAACCACAAAGAGCCAACGGTAAGGGCCTATGTCAGCTGATTCAAGTTGAGGCTAGGTTCGGCTTGGTCCATGACTTGTGTAGCTCAAGGTTGCGTAAGGCTCGAGTCTTGGTTCGGTTCCATAGACCTTGTTTCGATAAGTTTCTCCATCAGTTCTAGAAGCAAAGTTAATTTTATTTATATTTTCCAATGAATTTATATTATTAGAGCATCCACAATGGAGGGTTTTTTTTGGGTTTTTACAAGAACGTCCACCGTGGAACATAGATTCTTGTCCAGTCATGAGTTTTTATTAGAACTCAAGTGCAACGACGTTTGTCTTGGTCCATATTTTGTGTAACAATTTTTTTCTCCAATCTTTCAATAGTTTTTATCTTTTTACATGTTTTTACCATTAATCTGTTGATCTTTTAACATTTGATAACACATAAATGTTACAAGGTCGTAAGGTTATCAGTCAAAATGGGTACAAAATAGTATGGAAAAAATCTTCATTACATTGAATAGGAACTAAACCATACTTTGTTCAGTTGTATTTCTGAAATAGAAATACATGAATCAACTATCTTGTGTTCGATGATATCTAAAAACACGATAGTCCTGTAACAAAACTCCGTATAAAATTTCATTCCATGTGTCGGGAACTCCAGGTAAACACCAATGAATGCAATCAGCGTAGTTTTTCGGATCTGATTTTTGCTCTTTCGTCAAGAGTTTTCCTTTTCGTTCGCCATAAACCGATGTGTGACCGTCTTTTCTGTATTCTGACAACTGGGTAATGTTGAGTAATCTCACATTAACTCGCAATCGTCCTAGAACGTCTTTCACTATGCCCATAATATCTAGATTTGAACCCGTTCCAAAATACGGCCGTTGTATCAGTTCTGACTCACCGAAACAATTCCCGTTGTCTCCACTCTTCCATTCCCAGCTCCTGCAATTGTCGGATTTTACCGTTTTCATTGTCAATTGAACAGAAAAAAGTGACTCGGTAAATCCCACTCGAAATCAGGTCTGAAGAGGGTGAGATGTACGTAGACGATATTTCTTCCCCAATAGGGTAATTCGGTTGTTTCCAAGAGCGGACTTATGAAGGCTCAAGTGGGGTCTGTGCACCTGCTCAAGTTTTTTTTTTTGGGTATAAATGGTGCACAAACTAAACTTTAAGGGGTGCTTCAGGATAATAGAAAATACAAAAAACATCAATCAAAAAATCGAAAAGGCCCTGGAAATCAACTATAAAATTGAAAAAGTCTCTCGAAATCAAACAAAAAACCGAAGAAGTCTTACCAAACTGACTTAGTGGATAAATCAAGGATACAAAAACAAAATTGGCAATTGGACCAGAGAATGTGATTGCATTATAAGGTCTCAATTGAACACAGAAGTTCAAATTGACGTAACATAAAACCTATTAGTTTGAAAGCGCCGAGGAGAGCAACAAAAGTCCACAGACCGCCTAAATCAACCAGTTTTTAAAAAATCCCTCAAAATGATAGAATTTGGCTAAAAACACAACAGACGACTTGACAGGCCTTTGATCCAACCTTATAGATGCATCGTTCGATAGAAATCTTGAATCGGCCCTTGACTATTTCCCTAAAGACCCCCGACTTGTAAAGAATATGAGCAAACAAATGGAAAGAATAAAGACTAATATAGATTGTCAAAGGGTATTATGGTAAATTACTCACCACAAATGTGTTGGAGACATGGTCATGAAAAAGACCTTTTGAGTATGAGATTTGATGCTGGTTTCTATCCAATTTGCCCAAGTTTCCATTGCTATTCTGTAGGCTGTGGTCACGTTGTACTCCTCAACATTTTCAACATTCCCATACCTGGAATGTACCTTTGAGACGTCAAATATGTCTAAATATTCTGATAAACTGCTTACAGAATTTGTGTTTACGGGACCAAAGAATTATGTATTCTACATAAATGTGTCTATAAATTTAAGTCATAAAAGCAGTTTATTAAGACATTTAGATGTATTTGGAAATTAGTGTCAAAGATGGTGAACTAACGTGGCGTTGATCGTGGGTTTGTACATCCACCATACATAGCTTTCGTACACCAATATATCAACTCCTTCCCATTGTTTGCTGTGATTAGATATGGAATCGAGCCTGACTAACCGTTTCATAACTGTGTGCTTCGTTGCATGATCTGAAATAGACTCGACCAAGAAAGGAGCCCAGTAGAACTCGATAGATGCATTATATTCCTAACATCCGAGGTGGGGGGGGGGATCAGTAACTCGAAGTCGAGGAGGAATTAAAGGAAAAATAGGGCAATTATGACAAAATCGTTCTTATAGGACGCCAAATGTATCTAAAATTTCTTAATAGGCTAATTTATAGGACTTAAGTTTATTTGACCAAAAAATATGCATCTTTATGTAAAGTGTTACCGTATGTTACTAAGGATATGTCTGTTAGTAGCTTAATGGGACTTATAACTTATTCGTTCAACTAAACATATTGTTTGGTAGTGACTTAATGGTATAGAAAGTGACTTATTCAGTAAGTTCTTGTGTGAAACTTTATACAGAAAACCAAGTTTTTTCAAACCAACGTCTCCCAATTAAAAAACACATTATCTTTCATCCATGGAAAAAACCCTCCCAACAATCTCAATTTATACAGATAGATTAATCAACAAAGACAACTTTATCTATGCATGACAAACAACCCTAAGATACTTCTGGGCGTCCTAACAAGTTTTTTTGGAGACTTTTGAATTTGGAAAAATGTCATGTAAAAACAAGTGTCCTATAAAAGATTCATTCATAAGACATTTCTAAAAAAATGTCTTATAAAAAAATTAGTAAGACATTTTATTTTAAAATTGTTCTAATTTTTTTGTTAGAATGCACAAATACATGTTATAACGCATTTATATAGAATGTACAATTGTTAAGTATTATAATTTAAATGCCATGAAATAGTTAATAGAACATTTAAGGGACTATTTACCAAACACTTACCCGGTAAACGTTTATCGGTAAAATTTAACACTATTATTTACTTATCAGGTTAGATTTTTGTCCACCAAAATGGTATTGTATGCAACAATTTACTCGGTAAGATCTTACCATGGCAAAAGTCGCCGCCCTCTCTTACCGGGTAAGACTCTTGGTTCTTGTCTCGTTCTTACCGGGTAGGATCATTGGTCCTAATCATATTCATCCGATAAGGTAATATGACTTGGTGTTCACTTACCCAAGTACACGTTTGGTAAACAGCCCATTAAACATATTTTACTGTACTACAAAGTCGATTTTTGTTGTGGCAGATGTAGGCCTTCATCCATGTCTAAAATTGCATAACGAACAACTATACCAATCTGTATCGGTCGGTTCAAAATGAAAAATCAAAATTCAAAATCTAAAAAAAAGTCATGTTTTTATATTTTAAATATTACAATATTAATTATATTATTAAAATATTTAATTTCAATGTTTCCTCTTGCTGAAAATATAATAAAATTTTATTTTCCTCATGGTGGTCATTTTTGGAGAGTTCTCTAAATTTGGAAAAAAATTTACTCTCTCATACTTTTTCCATTTTGAAGAATCTGTTAGAACAAATAACTTGTCGAAAATCCTCAAAGCCTCCATTTTTCCCGTTTTCGTGAATCTGTCGTAGATGGATAAATAACGAGGCTAGTTTTTCAAATTACCTCGGCTCTGAAAATCTTTCTCGGAGGGACTTTTCGTAGAGATTTTTTGCCTTCGGGAATTACGGATTGGACCAAACAGACCATCGAGTCGAACATGCTTCTTTGTACCGAGTCCCCTACAAACATGAGTCTTTTGTCCCTCAACATCTCCAACAATTTCAAAGCATTAAACCTACCAAATCCATAAATACACACCTTTGTTATGAACATGAAAGAAGAAAAGAAGTCGGAACGAAAATGGGTTCGACTTATCAAAGTGTCGTTGGCTCAACGGTACCTGGGTTATTGGGTTATCCGTACGTACGACAGTTTCCAAAGAAACCAAAGGTTCAAAACTCACTAACAACAAAAATACTTTATAATATATTAATATGCCAAAAATGTCTAAGCGTCCCGATGGAGTGATTTGTAATACTTGGTTTATATATGTCCAAAGAAGAAAGCGTTTTATCTAAAGGCTTTGTAATAAGTTTATAAGATGTTTTTGGATGTCGTAACAAGTTTTTGAGGACATTTTTATTAGAAAATGTCATTAGCTATTTTATATAACATTGTTTGAAAACTAAAAAGTGTCTTATAAAAACAAATGTCACGTAAAAAGATGCGTTCATAAGACATTTCTCAAAAAGGTCCTATGAAACAACTAATACCACATTTTATAGAAAAAATGTTATAAAAAACTTGTTAAAACACCCAAAGCTTCCATAAACTTATTACAACACATTTAGATATGACATTGGGTTCTATAAAACAACTAATATGACGTTTTGTATTAAAAATGTCGTAAAAATCTTGTTAACATGCCTAAAAACGATCTATTGGAATATCTAAAAATTGTTGGCATCCTATAAACCCAATCTTTGTTGTAGTCGCTCATCAAAGGTGAAAAGTATGTCTCAGTACTTGTTGCACTATATATATATATATATATATATATATATGGGCACCTTCAACATTTTGCGAGAAGACGAGAAGTTTCAACATCATATATGATTACACACATGATACACAAGCTTAATCATATATGATTAAACACACGTTGCAATGACAACACATAAACACACCCAAATGAGTGTAATCATATATGATATTGAAACTTCTCGCCTTCTTGTGAAATGTTTAACTTCTCGCATCATGGACGGACCTACTATAGGGCATACGGTGGCACGTGCCACCGTATTATTTCTCCGTTGAAGGGTAAAAAAAATTAGGTTCGTGATAGGTGCAACCATATAAGTTGATGTGTGCCACCATATGTATTTTGAAATTACAATGAGAACACGTTTTATTTGGTACAGTTGGTTTGCAAAGCTTTTATTCCATTTCAACTCAAGTTCGAATTATGTTAGTGTCATTTTCTTAGTCAAATGGTGCCACCATTTAGAAAAAAATTCTGGGTCCGCCCCTGTCTCGCAGGATCCTTCCCCTCTCTATATATTTTATATATATACATACATGGAGTGTTCTCGTTTGAACCTCCACCTCTATATATATATATATATATATATATATATATATATATATATATAGTAGGTTGGAGTTTTAATTACCTTGGTAAATTGCATGCATTTGGTTGCCATCTCCAATTCTGATACGATGAATCAGGCCTCCCATTTTTCTGGCAGGTCACTTGTTTGACCAAAAGAGGGCAACTTTGTTCTGTATAGAGTGGATGTGACTCATTGTCCCAAACCCATTTGCCTTCAAATATGTTGCAACCATCTTCAATGGTTTCGTCATCGGAAACGAGAATGGGCGGTCGATATCTGTCCGTCGGTGGGCGGAAAAAAGAGCGCGTGTGCTGGCTGTTCTTCAAATTATCGAGGAGAATTCGTAGAGAGCCGATGAATAGAAGGGAAGCGAGTGCCGCCGGGAAGAGATATTGATTCCGGCGATCGACTACGGAGGGTAAAGTTGTCATTTTGAGGGTGGTGGGTGAAGTAGATGAAGGGTATTTTGGTGTTTATAGTGAGGGTCTCAATTGAGTTGATTTGGGTTGCAAGCAAGAGATGCCAACCTAATGCAACAACAGGTTGGTAAGTAGTAAGGCTTCAAGTCTGGTGTTTGTAGGTGTTAATGAGGGTTTTTTTTATGTACGGATTCTCACGGAATTTGAAGAAATTAATTGATCAATATCGTTGACCACCATTGTCGTCGTCAATTAGGGTGCGTTTGGTACATTGTACAGTACATGATAGATCTGAACAATGATCATTGTTTCATGTTTGGTTGGACTTTTATGTGAAACATACAGCAACAGAGTTGAACAAAATGGAACATGAATGTTCCACCTCTATCCCATGGAAAAAGCTGGAACAAAGTGGAACATACCTGTAATTACCAATATAACCTCAAAACAAAACATAATTCTCTTCTGAAACGTCAAATGCGTCTCCTTCAAAAGTTGTTCGATTTTTAAATTTTATTTATTTATTTGATGTTCTTTAATTTTTATTTTATTGTCCACAAAATATTATTTTCGTATGGTTTTTATATTCGGGTTAAGTAATTTATTAAACATTAATAATGACATAAAAAATATAGAAAATGTGTAAAATAAAATTTTAAAACTACATAATTTTTTTATTTAAAATTAGGAATGCGAATGGGGTTTTGTAATCCACGGCCTAGTTTTTAGTAACAACTCTTGGCCCCGATTTTTAGTAACATCTCCCGGTCCCGATCTTCGACGGGTATGGGGATTAATATTCCGTCCCCGGTCAAATGCTAGTCAAACCTCATGAAAAATATCCACCAGTTTGAGTTTACCGGTGATCCTCGGCCCCAACCCCGGTTTAAGTAACAGGCCCCGGCCCCCGTTTGAGTCTACCGGGGATCCCCAGCCCTGGCCCCGGGACCCGTTTTAGTGGGGAATTTCCGTCCCCGTTCGGGTCGAGTGAGTCGTGTTCCCCACCGGGTCGGGACAAATCATCATTCGTAGTTGAAATCCAATAGATTTAGGTGGATTTGATCCATCAATAGATGATTGAATCCGATTGGTTCCATCCATTTGGATTTTATACCAATTAATCCACTGTTTTAACCAATTATTCATATATTTTTTTAAGGTTATTAAAAACACTACATATAAATATAACTAAAAGAACTATTGTACATTATTAATAATTTTATATAGTGGTTAATTGAATGGTAGTTGGATGATAATTGGATTAGATCCGTTCGATTTTATTGGATTCTGAATTGTCATTCAATAACCAACCGATTCAAATTGAATGCTGAAATTTTGGATCTGATCCAATTACAACCGAATATCCGATTATCGTCAGTCGATTCTAATTAAATCGATTGGTTTAAATTAGATCGGTTGACTTTTTACACACTACTGAAAAATATGGACATGGACAATATTTTTCACACTTTGAATTAATTTTATCTCCCGTAAACAAACATATAATTATATAAATATGAATACATTAATACGAAAAGCTCTAATGAATGGACCTTTGATGGTTTCGTGGCCATACATCCTCCGTTACTTTATTTTTATTTTCGATTTAAAAATTAAATTATGTATTTAATTTATTCAAATAATCATTTCACAAAATTGATTTCACTTTTTAACCATTTTAGAAATTATATATACTATATTATAAAATATTTGACAAAAACTCTTAAAAACTTTTTTTATGCATAAAGTACTGTTTATTGATGTATATTACTTAAAATTTAACATTACAAGTAAATTTTACATAAATACAACTTATTAAAGCTTTATCTTTGAATTCGTGTAACTAATTGTGGATAAACATAATCAAATAGAGAATAAACATCTCATTTTAAAATATAAAAAATCTAAAATATAATTAGGATAATTGTTGAGTTTTAACAGAATATTTAATTATTATTCTTATAAAAAAATATTATTAAACCTAAATTAAGTTACTTTGTTACGTTAAATTAAATTATAGTAAAAATTTTGAATTAAAAAAATAAACAAACAAGAACTTTTAATTAGTTAATTTGATATTAATATTGATATGTTTTTTGCAAATTTTATATGATATTTTCAAATTTATATTTATTCAAAAATAAAAACATTATCGCTTTCTCAAAACCACATAAAATCGTATTATATCGACATGGATGAAAAATAAAACGAAACATTGAAATGGAAATGTGTCTCATGCATTCAACGAATACCCTTCTAGTATTTCTTAAATAGCCAAAGTTTACGATAAAACTTTACGTAAAATTTGTTTTCAGGTAAAAAAAAAGATAAGTAATTTAAAAAGGTAATTTACACATGAAAAAAACTTGAACCATGAAAAACGAAGAAAATTTACATTTTACATCTTATAGTTAGTTGTTTAATTTATTTTATATTTCTTATTTTTTTTATTTTTTATTTTTTATTTTTATTATATTAACACACATAATCGTATATTAACTAAAATACATAAAAAAATATGTTTCTCTTTTTATAAATTAGACTCTTATAATCATCTTGTCAATACGTTCAAAATAAGTCTAATATTGAATATTTTTGGATTTAATCTTATATTATTAAATATCATAAAGACGTACGGATCATTTTTAAAACTTAAATTTTCTACCCTTATTGTTATTTATTTAATTTGTAATTATAAGAGTATAAAATGTAATTACTAAAATAGTTCGTAAGTTTTATAATATTTAATAATATAAGATTAAATTCAAAAATATTAAATATTAGATTTATCTTTTTTATTTTACATTTATTATATTAACATACATAATCTATAACTATAAGGGTATAAAATGCAAGTATTGAAAATTAAATAATTCGTAAGATTTTTAATATTTAACAATATTAGATTATATCCAAAAATATTTAATATTGAGCTCATTTTGAACATATTGACGAGTTGATTATAATGGGGATGCTTTTGATAAAATAAACGTATTTTTATGTATTTTTGTTAATATGTGATTATATGTGTCAATGTAATAAATAATGAAAAATGAAAAAATTAACGTATATAAAGTAAATTAAATAACTAATTATAAAGATGAAAGGTGTAATTTCGTTTGGGATTGCTTATTTTATCTGTTTATTGACTTATTTCAGTCTGACACCGTTGATAAGCTAATACCTAGTGTTTGGATAAGAAAAAAGAAAACTGCTTATACCGGTGCCAAACCGGTAATAAGCAGTTTTTGATAAGTTAATCCGTCCTGACTTATGAAAAACTGCTTATTACCAGTTTACCATTTTAACCTTATTACTCTTTATACCTATCTTTTTTCCTCCAGATAACATCGATCTCAATCTTCTCCCTTCTCCATATAACAACATCAATCTTCTCTATGTCCTTTTTGGTCATTTTACAGATATAAGCAAAATTTGTCAAACACTAAAAAACAACTTATCAGCTTATTGCAGTTTGGTACCGCTGTAAGCTAATCCAAACACTTTTTACAAAACTCCAATTTGATACCACATAAGTTAATAAACACTTTTACAAAAAAACATAAGTTGTTTTAAATAAGCAATCCCAAGCACCCCCTAAATCAAAACTTTATCTGAGGAAAAAAAATCTTAAAATAGCTAAAAAGTGAAATCAATTTTGTGAAATAACTGTTTGTTTATTTTATTTTCGGTTCAAAAAATAAATTATGTATTTAATTTGCTATACGATATAGTAAAATACTGTATCGACTATTATAAAGCATGAATTAAAATGAAGAGAATTTTTGTCCTTCCATCGCTACTTTAATTTTTTTTTCTACAACATTTTTTAACAAGTTTTGAAAATGAGTACCTTGAAAGAGATTAACGACTGAAAAAAGCCGACAACAAATATTACCCGTTAAGGGAAGGTGAGAATAGATTATTAATCCACAATTCCCACTAAATGTAACCCTTTCTAAGACATCTCGACACCCACTCGAACACGCGTAGTTGGATGTCGGTAAATGGAATCATAACAGGAGATGATGGTTTTCTGAAATATTGTTATCCCACTTACCCAAATCAGAATGCAACAAATAGCCAAATCGAAGCATACAAAATCCACCTTATGGGTTGTTTGTCTGCCTCTTAATAGTTTCATTAAGAGGCAACCTCTGAATCGTTAAGAGATGAATCTTGTTTAGGGAAAAAAAAAGTCTGTCTCTTAATGGTTCTAAAACCTTCTGAATGATTTTTGTATCATGGATCTCCCTTAACCATTAAGAGCCCTAATTTCATTGTACACAATTACCAAACAATTATATTTCATTTTGCACTACATCACGAGAGCCTCTTAATCATTTTGACCACTTAATCATTCTGCACCAAACCATTCAACAATTGTCAAACAATCCTTTAACTTGCAAAATTATTGCTATCGAAGTTATAAACGATTTGAGTTCACTCTTCGAAACTTGTATATGGGTTTGTTTTATATGTCACAACGAAATAAATACAAAAAAGTGGCGAGAGATGACGAATTTAAAAGGGTGTTTGATTGGAAGTAAAAAAGAACGTATTGATTTAATTTTTCAAAAAATTAAAAGAAATAAAACTTATATATATTTCCATTCCCATCACAAAAAATGGATGGTTGGTGAACACAAGATAAAGTTTTCTTAAATGGTGGATTTTTGGTAATATCCTAAAATATGTTTTTAATATTTTTAAAAATAAAAATATTTTTAACAAATTATTTAAAATAGGTAAATTAAAATAGAAAATTTGAGTTGACTTTTTATATACGAAAAATAAATTATTTTTTATTCTTCATACCAATAAGGGGGTGTTTGTGATTGCTTATTTGAAACAACTTATGATTTTCTACAAAAACACTTATCAACTTACTATAAGTCATGAGAGTTTAACTTTTTCAAAAACTTTTTATTATCAGTTTGTCACCGCTTACCGGTATAAGTTGTTTATCCAAACATTTAAAAGTGTTTATTACCGGTGCCACACCGAAATAAGTCAATAAGTTATTTTTATAACCAATCTCAAACACCCCCGAAATCTTTGAAATTAAATGTGTAAAAGAGATAAATAATATTTTATAAATATTCTATTAATATAATTTATATTATAATTCGTTTTGAAATTCATTAAATTTGAAGAAATTCCCAAAAATAAATACAATGGGACGAAGATTTTTTATTATAAAAAACATTGAAATTAAATACTTGAGAGATAAAAATAATAAATAAAAATAAAAACGTCATTTTTAAAAATTATAATAAAATAAATTAGGGAAAAATAGAAGCCAATGTAGTGAAAGTAGAGATAGGGGAATCACAATGCATATCGACCGGCCTGCCTTTGCTATTTGAGAAATGTTTTGGTCACTTATAATTAAATTTGTTACAATTTGGTCCTTTCAGTTTACAATTTTTAGTTCAACAGTTTTGGGTCAACTTACGTGCACCTAAACTAATCTCAAGGGTCCTAGAGAACAGTCAATAAAATCCCAGAAGGTCTTGTAGGACTCGAATCAGTGACCTCTAAAGAACACTGATTTAGGGGTGAAAAGTCGAAATGGGCTTTTAGTTTTTTTTTAAATAACTGTGAACGAGAATGAAAATGGTGGGAAATGGGAATAGGTACTTTCATTGCATTGTTTATACTTGAAGATAAAAAAAATCATTGTAAAACATCAGATAGGAGGTGAAGATCGAACATCCAACATCCCACTACTCAAACTCGTGCAGAAGGAACTCGTAGCTCTAGTCACTAACGCATCAGAGAAATCATTCACGAAATAGTGGAGTTTTTGCTGTAATACAATGGAGGGAAGATTAGATTGAACTCACTCTAACAGAGTATGCAATGTGAATGAAGAAAACATACACTTAGATTATGAGAAAATTTATAATGATTAGCACCAGGGAGAAGGAGCATTATGAATCATAGTAAATGTCAGAGTTCGAGTTTGAATGAAGGGGAAAGAGCTACTGGAGTTAGAAAAAGACAAAAAAAAAAAAAAAAAACAAAAACAAATGAATAATCAAACATCTAGTACAAGGAATGTGAAACCTTCATCAAGGAAGACGAAAAACAGATGAATAATCAATCATTAGCAGATCAAAGTTGCTTGATAAATCAAGACGTTGTTTGGTTGAAGGTTTCTTGGTTGGAGATAAGGATGAGATTTCTAGGAGACAGGGGTTGGAAGGAAATGATGATGAGATGATAAACATACGTCGGGCATCAATTGTATCTTAAGTAACCCTATGAATTGCGTTTATCACGAAAATTGATCTGATGCATCTCAGTGCATTGCATTAGTGTTGATCTTCAATTAGGAGTGATACAAGGATGGAGATCTCTTCTCACCCTTCATCATAACTTCCATTCTTACTGGAACCTAACTCTCGTATGTATTCGGTTAGTTGTATGGTTTAAACATGATAAGAACTTTCATTTAATCACCAAAAATATCATTTTGTCTTGTTAAAGGACGAAAAATGAAGGTATAGAATAGAACAGGGACCATTATTGTCACTCTATGCAACTGCCTTACTCTTTTAAAAGGAACAGTGGTGGTTCATTTCTCCATCACATCGTCGTTAACACACACACACTCTCTCTCTCTCTCTGAACCAGCACGCGGAGAACAACAATGAGGACGGCTATGTTGAGATCGATCCATTCTTCCCTTCAGAAATCTTCATCATCTACTTTACTCCGACGGAGTTACTCGTCTGAGTCTGCTCCCGAGCGTAAAGTCGCCGTTTTGGGCGCCGCCGGCGGTATTGGACAGCCGCTTGCACTCCTCATGAAATTAAACCCTCTCGTATCTAGTCTCTCTCTATACGATATCGCCGGAACTCCCGGTGTCGCTGCTGATGTCAGCCACATCAACACCAGATCTGAGGTTTTATCCCTAATTAACTCACATCGCCTTTTATTCTCTACCATTCATTTATAATTGTGATAGTTGTATGCGATTTCTTGTATTTTAGTAGTTTTCTACCGTTGTTCGTGTTGATTTGGTTCACATCTTACTTCTACGGTTTTTGATCTATCGTGTTCTGATTGTTAATTTTTTGTTCAAATTGCTCGTGGTTCAGTTTAGTTGAGGTTCTTTTAAAAATGATTACAACAGTATCTCCTTGTTTATGCCACAATGTTTTTAGCGATCTGTGGTTGCTAAGCTTTAAAACAATTTTTTTGTTTTTATTTAATTTATAGACATTGGTACTAACGGTTATTAGTTTACTTATAAGTGTATAACTGTATGGCGGTGTTCTGGAACTTCAATTTCGTATTACTTGAAACTGGAATCGGAATCTGTTACAGAGTTTATAACTGATCTTGAGGATTCCATGCTCCCAAGCAGTACCTTACTGAAGTCTAATGTATGTGATAACTAAGCTTGATTTTTTGACATAGAAATGCATTGCTGTCCTGTTACATAGGTGGTTGGGTTCATGGGTGAAGAAAACCTGGGAAAGGCATTGGAAGGAGCTGATGTTGTCATCATTCCTGCCGGTGTACCAAGGAAGCCAGGCATGACACGTGATGATCTTTTCAACATCAATGCTGGCATTGTTAAGGGTCTGTGCACAGCTATTGCCAAGTACTGCCCTCATGTGAGTACCATGCCTACCTTAATTGTGCAATTCATAGAATAACTCGAGCTATGAATTTTATTTTGTGTTTCAGTTTTGAATATGTAATATTCCTTGATATTTTGTGTTGATATTATCTGATCCCACCTTATATTCATGATCATCAGGCACTGGTTAATATGATCAGCAACCCTGTCAATTCAACCGTGCCCATTGCTTCTGAAGTCTTCAAGAAAGCGGGTACCTATGATGAGAAAAGGCTGTTCGGTGTTACCACACTTGACGTTGTCAGGGCAAAAACTTTCTATGCTGGAAAGGCCAAAGTTCCAGTTGCTGGTATGATTTCCTGCATCCTAATTCTTGTTTAGTTGAAAGGGCACTTTGTTTTTCTCAAGGTCTAAATAATTTCATTTGGTATTCATATGCTCCAGGTGTCAACGTGCCTGTTGTTGGTGGCCATGCTGGTGTCACCATTCTTCCCTTGTTTTCTCAGGTATTACTTTGTTTTTTTGTATGCATCTGGTTGCATAAAAGTATTATATCAATAATAGTTTGTGAATGGTACTGATGAGTGCTTCTAAATGCAGGCTACACCACAAGCAAACAACTTATCAGATGAAGAAATAGTTGCTCTAACAAAACGAACTCAAGATGGTGGAACGGAGGTTGTGGAGGCAAAGGCTGGAAAGGGTTCTGCTACACTTTCAATGGCGTAAGTCCTAAATGATATAATCATTTCTGCTGTCCAGATACTGCTGCTATTGTAGATATCAGTTGAGCTCTATGTTTGTATTAGAATAAAATATGGTAACTTGATTCAGTGTGAATTGGCAAATAATAATTGCAGTAAGCTACAATATGGTCAGGGGATGGTGTGCCGAATGGGTGCTTCCCAATTCATAACCAATATACAGAAATTAGTTCACATCTGATATCCACATTCAACAGATGCATATGGTTTATGCTATATCTGTCTTTAGTAGACATATTCAGGTTTTGTATATTATACTTGTCTTACAAAAAATGGGTTCCTTGGTTCTGTGAGGGAAGTCTTCGTGGTTTAGTTTTTCCCTTGCATTTTTGTGTAGAGGTAGTTTCCATGATTGGAACATGATCTTGTCACAGAGAAGTAAACCCTACTAGTTGCTTCAATGCTTATTGTCAAAGAAATATTGAGTGGTGATATTCCTTCCACTAGAGAATTTGTTTTGCAATTTTTATTTGTCCCATAAAGAGTGCTAATTGAAATCTTTACCTTATGATAAATGTTGATGCCCCTAAAAGGGTGGATACATAATTGTTTTCTTAGATCTATGATGTCTTTTTTTCGAATAAAATGTTCTTAAATTTGTTCTAGACTTAGAAATGGACGATGGACATAGTAGGTAAGTTGTGTAATTTTGAAAAATGTTATGGATATCTGCAAAACTTGCAATGTGTTTCTACTGTTGTTATGTGGACCCATAAGAAATACATCAAGAATGGAAAACCCGGTAGATGTTGCATTTTGCAAGTATAATAGTGTGTGTGTCTATATATATGATAAAAAGTGTCCCCCGTCACATATGGACGATAATTGCTGCTTTCTGGTATCCTGTATTTATGCTTCCTGTTTGGGTTACTTTGTAAAACACATGAGTAGTTTGCTTATCAGACCGGAAGCTAAAATACAGGATATAAAGCTAAAAATCCGGTTGCCCTAAATCATAGATAAAGCAATGGTTGGTTCGTCTGATAAGCAATCAGGTTTCAACCTATTGTCGGCCTCGCCTTCATGTATTGCCATTGTCTTTTTGCTCTGCTTGGTTTATGTCAATGTAGCATGTGAAGGCTGTTGAGCCTTTAAAGCTGCCATCAAGCAGATGACATGTTCAATAAAATCTTTTTAACTGTATTTGTATGTTATGTGTGTGTGTGTGTATCGAGGTAAATAAATTGTATGTTATATCGTCCTGCTCTCTCTTAGCCTCAGTTCAGAAAGCAGTCGACAGTCCTGACTTGTAGAAAGTGTTGATTTTCATTTATCTTTGTGCAGTTATGCTGGAGCAATATTTGCTGATGCTTGTTTGAAAGGACTTAATGGGGTCCCAGATGTTGTGGAATGCTCATTTGTGCAATCAAACGTAACTGAACTACCTTTCTTTGCATCAAAGGTACTTCCACTATTACTCTTATTTCTCTTGAGCCCTACCTTATATTGCTAGGTTAATTTGCTATTTCACCCTCTCAGCAAATCCCTTCATTTTCTATAGCCATTTTTGAACTTTAGACACTCCGTAATTGACCTTGCATGAATATCATTGAGAAGCTTGAAAAGATGTCGAGCCCAAGTATCTTCGTTTTTACTTGCTTTTTTTTGCTTCTCCTTGTTGAATAAACACATAGTTCTATGAACAACATAAAGTCACACATCAAGTGCTTTTCACTTAGTAGGGTGATTTCCCAAAACAACCAAACTAGAGTGAAAGATGAAAAAGGCCTATGATTGAAACATCTTGGAGGACCTGTCCAGTCGGTTGTGTGATTTTTTTCTTCTATCAAGCTATATATGCATTAAGTTGGCTATAGTGATTAAGTTGTTTGTATGAAGTAAGATAAATCGTTGTTTTTTTGCTGCATAGAGGGTCTGAGTGACATAAATTACGGTTTTAGCCCTCAACAACACATTACAGATCAAAATTTAATAAGTGAAGATAGGGAAATGGATTTGCATAAATGGAAGAACCAAAAAGCGAAAGAAGAGAGTATTTTTGGAAAAGATTAGTTGGCTTAATGAATTAAGCCATGTATTTAGCATTAAGCCATAATCAAACACATCTGCATAACTAAACAAATTAAACTTTAAGTTCATTAAACCAAGATCAAACACCCCCTAAGCTCTATTTTACATATGGTACTATATGCTCTCTAATGTCATGCCCGAAGACTATCTTTAGTGGCGTTCTGAAGCAATCGATTGTGAACAAGACAAAACAAAAAGGAATTGAAAAAAATGAAGATGTTAACAATTGGATAAAGCTGTCTATATAGATTGGGAAGGTTTTTGTTTGGAAGAGTTTTTTCATAGATGGAAGGAGTGTGTCTTTTAATTGGGAGGGACAGGTTTGGTATTTTCTTGGCTTTCTGCATAAAGCTCCCACCTAGAAGCTTATTGAATAAGCCAATTTCTATAACATTAAGCCACTACCAAACAGTCATGTATAGCTGACCGAGTATGCTGTGAGTTCCATCAAGCTCGTTAAACTGCTAACAAACAGACCCTTATTTTGGGACGGAAGAAGTATCGTTCTCTTGTAAGTGGGAAGTTTTAGACTCTAATAAGTGCATATACATCTGATACAGGTAAGACTGGGCAAAAATGGTGTAGAAGAAGTCCTAGGACTTGGCTCACTTTCGGATTACGAGAAACAAGGTTTGGAAGCCCTTATGCCGGAGCTAAAATCATCTATCGAGAAGGGAATCAAGTTTGCCAACCAGAATTAAAACACTCCCTTCCGCTTATCATCGTAATTGAGTAAAAGAAACACCGTCACAGTTTTGCATATTTTGATTAAACTTATGTTGTACTCTTTTTCGAGTGTTGTTCAGGCGGCACACGCTAGGCAATTACTAATAAAGAGGGAAGCAGAATCCTTGCCTTGCCTTGCTCTGCTCAACCAAAAACAGAGTGTTAGATTGTTCTATTCTCTCAGCATTTTCATTCTTGTCTAAATGACTATTTTTAATCTAGTGATTAAATTTAAATGGTGCCTTTTAAGTTACAGTGCCAACATGTCTCGTTCATAAGTAGGCTGGGATGTGCGTAGACCTGATTTTGATTCTAATCTAAAAAGAGGTTATTGGTAGGTTCTAGGAAAAATGTACGTAGACAAGACCCCGATATAGCATTAGAGCATGTTTTTAGGTCCCCTTTGGTTTGTGGGATTGGATTAGGAATTGAATTCTATTACAATCCCATGTTTGGTTTGAAGGATTTCCTGGATTTGAAATCCTACAAACATAGGATTTTGAAATCCCATGGGGTGATTGGTATTTTACGGGATTTCGTAGGATTTTTATGTAATAATGTTTTAAAATGTGTTAAAAGCATTGTTTTGTAATAATCAATTAATAAGAAGGTAATAGAGGGCAGATCTACATACATTTCACCCCTAGATTGTAAGGAGACGTTGGATTTAATAGAATGATTTTGAGGGATTTAGATTTGGAATTGGAATCTTTGGTTTGTAGGATTTGAAATGGAATTGAATTTGATATCTGACATCAAAATTCCAAATAGTCTGTATAACCGTTTATGTGAAGTCCTCGATTCTATTTCTTTAAAGTCGACTTACCTACCGCTTATATAACCTTGCAAAGAAGCCATCTTACGATTCTAGTTACAAATGGGAAAACACACCGGCAGAAAAGGGTGAAGTTTTCACAATAAGGTCTCAGGTTCAAATCCGGAAACCACTATGCCCCATAATGACCTAGTGCCGCCGGTAAGATGGATTGGGATGATGGGGAGGGTAACGTAAGGTTTGAATCTACCAATAACATGGATACCGTTGGACCATCCACCATTTGCTGATGCATAACAAAGTTGATACCACCAGTTAACAGAACAAAACATGCCAATTTCATATATGTATATAAGAAGTAGGTCAATATATGTGCAAGCCGCCCTAGAACAAGTATCACTGCCCCATGTTTGACGGAACAAAGTGGAACATGTGTGTTTCACCCTTATTTTATGGAACAAAGTGGAACAGACTTATATTTTACCAATATAACCTTAAAATAAAACCTAATTCTGTGTAAAATATCAAATACTTTTTTTTTACATTTTATTCGTTCTTTAAATTTTATTTATTGTATTTTATGTTTTTTTAACCTTTTATTGACCTAAAAAATATTAATTTTATACGGTTTTTATGTTTTGGTTAATTTATGTAATTTATTAAATATTAATAATAAACAAATAATATATAAAAAATATAATTTGGAAATTGGAAACAAAGTAAACTTTTTATTTTTGTGTCATTGTAATTGTCTTGACTTGAACTTTCTAATGATACATTTTGTTATAAATAATATTATTATAATTTAATATAAATTAATCAAAAAATATAAAATATATAAACAACTCATTAAGAATAAACTAATCATTTTATCTATTATGTCCTATCTAATTTTATCATATTAAACACTGAATAGTTGTTAGATATTAAATGCAAGACCATAAAGTAGAAATATCAAGAGGCAACAACTGTACAAACTACAAACTATCTACATTTTCCATTCAACATTTCACAACATACTTACCCAAACACTGCACCCCCGTCCCCACCATTCCTGCCTCACCCTTGCTCCATAGGGTGGGGTTGTTAGGTGGGGCTAGGGCAGCACGGTGGGGTGGTGGGTAAGGGTAGGTGGTAGCTGTGACGATGATAGTGGTGAGATAGTGGTTGAATGGCTGGGGCTTGGGAGTGGATGGATATGACAACAACAATAGCATGGTGTTTAGTGGTGGTGGTGGTTATGAAGGCCACAATAGTGGTGCAGGGTGGGGGTTAGTTAGGGGCAGGGCAGTGGGGATGGGTGGTGGGGTGGTAGCTGTGACGCTGACAGTGGTGGGATGGTGGTCAGGTGGCTGGGAGTGGGTGGATATGATGGCGACAGAAGTGGCATGGTGGTTAGTAGTGGGTTAGGGCAGGGGTGGGGGTGAGTGGCAATTGTAACAACGACAATAATAGTGTGATGGTGGGGGTTAGGTTAGGAGCGTGACAGCAACGATAGTTGCATGGTCGTAGTAGAGAAATATAGTGAGTGACCAGGGGGTGTGATGACAACAACAATGGCATAG